AAAAAAAATGCAAAAGTAGTAAGGAATGTATTCTGAAAAAGGAGCAGAGTTGATAAGAACAGCAGAGGATGTTTTACAGAGAGGATGATCAAGCTAATATCACAGGTTGCAAAAGGTTTAACCGGCCACTAACTCCGCCTTGCGAGTGTTATGCTGATCAGCTGAACCTAAATGAAGAGAAGGAAAAGTGTTGCCTGAGCTCCGAAATAAAAAAGCGTTGAAAAAGCGCACACGTCGGTAGAACCGAATTCGGGCCTTAATAGACGGGTAAATAAAAAGGGAATTAAATCCATCAACTAGATATCAAGCTTGAACGGCACCAAACGTTGTCCCACCATGGAGGCGTCCAAGGTATGAGGTTTTTCCATGAAATTAGAAAACTAAGGAACACACACGGTAAAGTAACATTTGTTCGGATTTATAAAAATTATGGCACTTCCTGTGCTACCGCCCTATTACGCGACCTTCTAACAAGACAGCACGACAGCAATTACATTGTTTCTGCATTAGTTTGCCAATGCAAACACACGGAAGACTAGACGCGTTAGACTTACTCCGCAATTTCTGAGCCCTCGCGGCATTAGCGGAGGACGCCGAGGGATGAGGAAGTTCATGGTCTGGCACAGCTGGAAGATCACCAGCGACGTCGCTAGCCAGCAAACGCTCTAATTCCGCCTCGACTTCAGCGTCATCACGAGAAGTCAGGTTGCCGGCTATCAAAGCACTCAATTCCTACAATTGTGAAGAGCAAAAAGTAATAATCTTTGCCTATGTTTAAGCGGTACTCCAGTTTTTGCATAAACGCTTAATGAGAACAATCAGGTTTTCAAAATTAGCTGGTTTAACAAACATGCTACAAAGCTGCTAGTGGTAACAAGAAAATGATGCCTCAGATGGGCAGTGAAAAAGGTTGCTAAACCTACAGACTGGTAATCTTGAGCTTCTTGAGCATCGCTGAGAATTCTTTCAACATCTTCCAATTTCATAAGGTCGTTAAGTTTCTTCAGCGCCTCATTGCCCTTCTTCAAGCTTTCCACAACCTGCACCTGAACCTGAGCAAACTCTAGGTCATTTATGAGGCCCTCGACAGTAGTTAAATGGTGTTCTGACTGTTCGAGCAGCTTTTCTTGATATTTCTTCTTCTTAAGTAGCAGCAGCGCCCGTCTTGAAAAAGTAGAAAAGAAGCATGTTAATTATATATGCCCATTAATCAACGAAATCGTGAACAAAAATTAATGGTGGAATAAAAAGCCATAAGTAATGGGGGAAAATCAATGAGATATAATAAAATGAACGAATTTCGCTTATTGCATATTACAGAATTCAATTATAAGACAGTGAAGAATACAAGACACCATACAATCCACCCGTTTAGCCTATATAAGCGTCGACAAAGTAAGTCCAAGGGAAGAGTAAATAAGAAAACTTGGCTTGCGAAATAGCAAGTTAATAAAACTGGACAGAACCGATATGTGAAAATACGCGACATGAAAATGGAAAAGTTTTGTTTCAGGAAATGGTTAATGAAATAAAAACAACCGAAAACATATGTTCTCACTGTTTTTGCTTGCGGGAAACGAGCTCCTTAATAGTAGCAGTGTCCTTTTCAATAGAATCACTTATCCTACGAGAATAGCGCTTCAACTCGTCACGTTGTTGTTTCAGCTGTAGGACAGCCTTATCGTGCTCTGTTACACGAGATTTGTGACGACTAAAGAGGGCACCCATACCTAGAAGTGGAAGATCATATGCATATATAGAAATTAAATTTACAAAGGCATCAAATGAAAAGTTTCTTTCAGCGGAAGAAGCAAGATAAACCACAAACATAGAACGATTGAAAAGACTTACTTATAAGGTAATTATATAATCAAAAGTGCATAAGAACGCGCGGTGCCGCAAATTGTGACTCTGATTGGATGATATGCTAATCTAATTGATTCGCCAATCTAAACGTAAACCTTAAAAGCGATTGGGATAATCTTCTTGCCCAAATACTAGGATTTTCCAATGATTTTTGAATTTCGCGACAGGTGCAAAACAAAGGTTTTAATTGTTTTTAAAATACGCATTGACAAGAAATTCGATGTTAACGCAAATAATAATAAGCTTTACTACATGCAACATTTTTAGACTGTTCGCAGCCAATCTTAACCATCTTTGCTTATCTGGAGGAGAAATGAAGGAATCGATGCTAATTTGAATAAAATTGATCAAAATTCAGATAGTGATTTTTTGCTCCCTGCACAAATCGATGCAAATTTTGTGGCCTTCGAAGACTTCGCAATTTGTTTCACAAAGCGATTGACTTAGATAAGCACGCAATTATACAAATTAAGTTAATGTGACTGCGATTTTGACGATAAAGCCACTCTATGCATTTGACAATACACAGAGATAAATTGTGTAATGCGCAGGAAATTTTAATCTACTACAAACAACACAGCTTTATGTTATATTACTGTTTTTTTTACTGTACATGTGGGCTAGCCTTCGGACCACGCTCAGCCCCCATTTGCCCTGTCGGCTCCGATTAAATGGATTCAGCGTCACTTTTGCTTTCTTCCACCCTATGTGAAGTCTCGGGACGCTACACACACCTCTGTTAAGTTTTTCTTACCAACACTCCAATCATCATAATATAGTTTGTATTTCAAGACAAGTGTCCATTCAGGTATATAAGCAGTATAGAGGAACACTGTGATAGGTTGAATGATAAGATCAATCATAAGATAAAATCTCTGCTGAATGCTTGCGTTGATACAAACATGATGCAGTGCTACTATGGCTGGGCCCATAGCCAGCCAGATTGCAGAAGCTCGATAAAACTAGGTAATGCCAGCCAAAGAACTAGTCCTATAAAAAAATTAGCACAGGCCGCAGTCGCACTCCTCCTATTGCAGAGAATCTTAGGTATTTAGTCAAATTCACAAATGCTAAGAGCACATAGCCAGTCTCGTTTGGGGAACAATCGAATCTGGATAACAACCGTAAATGTGACGACATAAAGCGTGACGTTTGCTTGTAGAAGTCAGCAAGTGTTTGTAGAAACCTGTAATTAGAGAAGAGTGTAAGACGTGGAACTCATAGCATGCCTAACCTTAAAAGATTAAGAAAAAGTCGCAACGGCCACCAGTCTTACCTACGTTCGAACAAACAAAGCATTAGATTAACACTTCTGTGCTATTCATTAAGTTATTGGCAGCACATGCTTGTGCCGAATATTAATATTAAGGCATAGGGCGTAAGTTGGTGCAATGTCAAAGTTAATAAGATAATTCACCCGGCAAAAGCATTGTAACTGCAAACGCACACTTCTATTATTAAAATTCGCTTAAAATTGGGACGCTTTACCCCGAAGATGGCCAAAAACTCTAAAGCCAAATTAACTGAAGTGTGGCATATAGAACCTTATTTAATTGACTTTTTATATGACTGAGAGGAGTATTCAATATTTATCTTGCTCTCGTTGGTTTGAGCTAGTCCTGGCCAAATTAGTAACCGAGCTCTTCATACATATTGTGTCTAAAGTGTCCTCGACTA